TTAAATTATTCTCCGCCGTTATTATTAATAGGATTTCTACACGGTCGGTTTAACTTTAATACATAATTTACTTTACGAATTTTTTTTTTAATTTTTCTTATTTAACACGAACACTAATGAGCATCGTGTTTGATTATTATTGTTCAACGCAGGAACTATTGTTTCTGTATTCTTTAAAAACAGGGATATTACACTTCGTATTTCATTCTATTTCACTATCGATTTCTTTAACAATATAATTATTATTTCTATGATATTTTATATTTTTGTAATTATATAGATTAATTTCGTTATGAGCATATAAAATATTGTATTAGGTAGGATGTAAGATTAATGAGTGTGGTTTTTTCTTTTACTCTTCAGACATTGATTGATTATTTTATACTTTATAGTTTTTGTAAACTAATTTTCAATAACTGTGCTTTTACTATAAAATGCAAATAATATACAATATTGATGTTTTACAGAAGAAGTTTTTTTTTATCAAGCCAAAGTAATTTATTATGCGATTAGAAACTAATAATGTTTTATTTGATGTATTATAATAATTTGAGATCACTAAAGTAATTTTTGGAAAGCGATTTGTTTTATTCGGTTTGAAAATACATGTCTTCAACATAAGGGGATTGTTGATAAACTTATTTGTTGGGGCTGCAGAAAAGCCTGGCTTTATGTTTTCATAAGTTTTATTATTTACTTGAATAAATTAATATGCATTGGATTAAATAAATTTGAATGAACTGGCTTGGATATATTTCAACTCATATAAATGTATAATGGTATTTACGTACACATTAAGGTAAAATTATATATTACTTAATACTTATATAGTTGTATAAATATACTACAACTTACAAGTCTTCATATTTATAATAAGTAGGTACTGCAGTGTGAGGTTTTTTTTTGGGAGAGGGTGGCTAACTGTTTATTTAGGAAGGTATAATTTTCACCCCTAGATCCACCAATGGTCTTGAATTAGAAAGTGTACAACTGTACAACCTATACAAGTGGTTATTAAAAAGGTTTGTCATAACTTTTTAACATTTATACAAATACTTAAAAGATATTAAAACTGGTAAAACTGCAGTTTTACGTGCGTGTTATGAAACAACATTCTAGTCTCTAGTACCTACGTATAATTGTACTTCCAGGTATACTATTTAGGCAATTGCAACTTGGTTTTTTATAGACTTAAGGATAAAAAAAAAACTATAATCCCTTAATAATATTTAAACGATTTTATCAAAAAGACTTGCAGTTAATAATAATATTATTAGCATTCAAATTTAATTTTGTTGTTGCTTAACAAAGTAGGTATGTCAAATGTTTTCATGGTAAATCTTATCGGTTGGCATCATATTATATTAAATAAAACGATAACCCTCTTATAGTATTCTACTGACATAAACGGAAAATAAAATCATCCGAGACACTAAATCGAAAAAATACCCTATTTGACATTCTGGAGATTACCTACCTTTGGAAAAAAATCACGTTTATATCGACTGCACATGAATATTGGCATATATACCGTGTTATGTTTTTTTCTCTCCCCATTTTGACATATGAGTTCGCTCTGAACACGCCCCTGGTGTACACCGTGTGCATATGTATATGGAAGTGAAGCCAATAATAAATCGGGGTACGCTGCAGAATAGATATTAAATTCCTCTATATAGCCTGTCGTAGAAAACTACACTACTGCCACCGCCGCCTGAACACTATGTCTTGCCTTTATATATAATATATATACCGGGTATATAATATAGGTATATTATAAACATACCATATTTACTACTTATATATAGTGCGTGTGAGGAGACTTGGTCGCTGGGATTCATGCGTTAACCCCTCCACCCATCTATCTGATGCACCACTCCCAACGCGTCACGGACATTTCCCGGCTTACTAATCCTCCGGCGGGTCGTCACGTGGTCCCCGTTTTCCCCTGCGGTCCCTGTGGGTATTCACGTATATACACCTCCTAATATATCAAGACCACCATATATATGTGGGTCGGTTAATAGTTATTGTTGTTCCGACACGACTTGCGAGGAATTATATATTTTTTCGGATGTAGGACATAATATTATATAGCTGTGAGCTCGATAAAGGTACAAAAGCGGCCGAGCTGATTGATGAGGCGGATTTGTCGGAAATTAAATAGTTCATACTGCGTGTACTATTGTGTGTATTATATATATATATATTAACTCTGTGTTGCCGTTTTTCCACGTGAGGAGTTTTCCGACTGTGATAATAGTTTCAACTGCTTAACGGCGGTGTTATCCGCGATGGATCTATAATAGGTACTATATATTATGTACCATCGCGGCCGTTGAGGATCTTGCAGAAATAAGTCTATGAAGATCGTGTTTGTCATATTTTTGTTTTCTTCTAAGCTTAAAAAACAGCTCTGATAAATAAATATTGATGTTAAAGAAAGGTTTTGGATTTTTTTTTAAACATAATAAGACGTCGGATAATTTTAAGTGCACGCGGTTATAATATTTTAATTAGAATCACGAATAAGAAAAACAATTTGATCGCGTCAATATACCCTTATTATATAATAGATACCACCAAGTTTCGTGATGAAATGTAGAACGTATTACTTAAACTGTTTGTTTTAAATGGTAAATTCTATATTTACCAGTAAGTAGTAACATATTATTGTCAATAGGTAATTAAAGTTATATTAATAGATTCATTTGAATAATTTGATTATACGCAGATTAAACTGAATTGTCTTAATGTCCATTAGATCATTAAAACATTTTATACCATTAACAAATTTAAATAATAGTTTTCATAAGAATATACCACAAAGTTTCGTGAACTTAAATGTAGAACGTATTACTTAAACTGTTTGTTTTTAAATGGTAATTTCTATATTATACCAGAAACATATTATTGTAAATAGGTAATTAAAGTTATATTAACAGATTCATTTGAATAATTTGATTATACGCAGATTAAACTGAATTGTTTTAATGTCCATTAGATCATTAAAAAATATTATTCCATTAACAAATTTAAATAATAGTTTTCATAAAATATAATTGCTCAATTCAAAATATTAACTGCTTAGCTATATAATAAAATTATAATATAAAGTGATCATTATATAAACACAACCCAAACTTACCGAAACACTATATTATACTATATAGTAATAGGAAGTGTATAACTGAGTCAAAAGCTCAAGACTCATAATATTTCATTTTTTTTAGCGAATTTTATATTTTTAATTAACTTTTAGTAAGTTTGATTAGGTAATTACCAAACTAATAGGTAACTAACACTGTTATATTAACAGTAAAATATTAAAACTGTTTTCAAAGATTGGAGTTATAATCTAATAGATATTAGTTATAATGTTGTAAATTGTCTATAACCCCAAGCATATTCCATACTATAATTATTATATATTTTGTAATATTATAAAGTTTTATATAAATTTGACAGATATTATTGAAGTGAACTTCTATAAAAATCAAGTTTACTGAAATAGAGTTTTGTTTTATTTTATGTTTTGTAGACATATTATTCAATATGTAAACATCTGTATGAGTTATAATATAACTAAAGTAGGTAAGTGAAAGTAGTTGCAGCTATTGTAAAGTATGCTATATTGTTTTAACAGCAAAATTATTGATTATAAAGTATTCAAAATGAATAATGAATATATTCATTAAGTGTTTAACATTTGATAGCAATTGTTAAAAGTATTATATGGGTGTTTGATTATACTTACTTACCTAAATTAAGTATTCATTTTGTTCGTATAATCGAATTTTTAAAGAGAACACATTTTAATTATCTACCTCTATAATAACCAATGAATATAATACTGTAATTTAAAAAGTAATGGTTTGTTTCTATCAACTATTGAATCAACAAACAACATAATAAAATAGTGTATACTATATTTTATATAGCTAGTAATGTCATTTAAATACTTAAGTTTAACAGGGAAAACACATTTAATATGAACGCTGGACAGCAGGATACTTTATAATTAAAATAACTTTAATTTTATACAAACTCAATCTTCATTTTATTAAATATAAAATCAGTCGATCATCAACTCGAAGGACAATAATATCCTACGCATCTAATGATTCGGCGGGATGCCTATATTAACCGCTCATATTGACAAAAAAACTATTGGTTCAATAAATTAAATAGAAACGACAGTTTTCTAATGAAGCCTGAAACTAGTTTCGATATCCTCCGTGTTATGTTAGTGGGGAGACATATTGTGATATTCCTTAAAAGGAAATATTTAAAAGACGAACGTTATATTCTTTGTATGATACAAAAACTATGAAGAAACTATGCTGACTTTCAAATCAACGGTTGCGTGGGAAATGGGAATTTTCATTTTTATTCAAAACCAATATTATCGTTAATAATATATTATCATGAACACCATACAAGTCTTTTATGTTCTAACGCGTTCCCGCTAATGCCTTACCACACTGTGGGTTAAGAACAAGGGCTTACAATGCATCTTTAAGTTTGTTGATAATAATAATAATTTATATTACCCGGTATGCGGAAATATTTCAGGAGCATAAAACAGCTACTAAACAAGAATTGTCTTGACTGTGTTTTATGCGAGTATTAATAATTGCACTAGAAGTTTGATTTAAAACACTATAAATAACGATATAAAACGGGTACTCGAGAATATGAAAAGTTGAACGATTGCTATTATTATTATCGTCGTCCGCCTTCATTTGTTTTTAAAATATACCTATACTTCTCAATGTCTCATATACGCCACCATACATTTCGAGAGTGTTTAAACTGTTTTTTTACAATAAACCACGGGCGAGACCGTATTCGTATAGTTCGATTAACCTAATGCACTCGTTAAATAATAGTACTATGATGTCGGACACCTGTTAAAATGTGTTACTAATGACGCGGGACGAATATATTTTGCCAAATTGCAGGTTTGTCGGCGGCTGAATACGTATAGTCTACGGGTCATGTTTTGGCCGACCGTGTTGGCGTTGTTGCAGTTGGCCGCAGATGGACGGACGGACGAATTCGTTCTCGGCTACTTGACAGGCTCGAGGAGACGGCCCGGCGACATCGGGTACTCGAAACCCGGTCGCACGATCAGCGGTGCAATATCGTTGGCCGTCGAGGAGATAAACTCGGGATCGTTTAAGGACAAAGGTACGATATAAATGTTATTATGACCAATTGTTGAAAAAGACAAAAAAAACTGTAAATATAATAACAAACCTTTCAATGTTTTCGTGGATCAACAATGTAGAAAACCGAGGCTCCTCTACGATAACTTTTATTTAATATTATCTATATCTTATGCTTGAAAAATATTATGCTGCAATCTGACGTAGGTAATAGCATGAATAAAAACCCGTTCGCCAATTCATCAACTTCCATCAACGGTTCCTCGTAACGTACCCTTCAAGCTGCTCACAAATGTCGAACACCGTTTCTATCGAGACTCGTTAGTGTACCTATTAATAATTCATAGAAATTGTATCAAATTGCTTTTTTTTTATATCCGTGGATAACTCTTTGTAGTTTTTCTAAGTTAAGTGTTAGTAGTTACAGACATGTATAGGTACAGTTAATTTTAAATGTCACATTGTGTTTTTCAACAAAATTATAGTATGTCCGTCAGTCAACGTATCGCTTTGTTTTTTTTTATTTAACGAGTGACGCACATCCGGGATGAATCAGTGGAAAATTAGCATTGCAATTTTATCTTGTTATTTACATTTTTTTTATCAAAATTAATATACTTCAACTGTTTATAAATTCCACTCGTCTGATTGAAATAAATGAGTTATACAGTCCAAAAGAACAATACTATAAATATAACACGCATTTGGTGTAGTATCTACAAGTTCAAGAACCTATACATATTATAATATTAAGTATAACATTATTAACAAATGCCAACTTGGAAGTTTAATCAATAGAAAACACACACGTATACTTGTTATGGTTTTAATATTAGATTTGCATATAATCAAACATAACATTATTTACCTTCAATTTGTCACGCCCATGAGTACAAATGAAGACATTTTAATTAATGCTGGGAACTAAATTTAATTAATTATTCATTTTAGAAGAGCATAATAATATTTTGATTGATTAAAGTTATATAAAATATAAATTGTTTTATGCTTGTGTAATTGAACATAATATTATTTAAACGACCAAGGCATAATTTATTATTAGATAATCTATTGGATGAATAATTAAAAAACAAATAATCATAACTATACGAGATTATATTATGTATGTTTTCGTATCCGGTTACTTGATTTGTTTAGGAAAAAACAATTGTTATAGAATATTTTTACCATATTACTTTATTGCGAAGGAAAGTATATTATGGATAATATTTATAACCATTTAGGTACGTTTAATCAGTACACTATACGCATATAAAATTAATACTATAACATTGTAAGTTTCTCTTGTTTTATCTATCTGAAAACCTTTGCAAAACTTTTTATTCAGTTGAAGATAAATAAAGTTTTTGGTAAACTTGTTTCGGAATAAAGCTATGTTCCGCCTCGTAAAATCGGACCAGCAAGTTTAAATTGCGTCTACATTAATTATAATGTACATAATATTATTAACATTAATGTATTAATATGACCACAACATTACTTAGTTTTTTTGTATGAAAATTATCAAAGATTAGGGTTATTAATTTAGTATTGTACGGTTATTTTAAAATATGCGGTTATGCATTTTGCACACTTAAAATGTGATTTTTAAATTCGTAAATAGAGAATGATGACTGATATAATAAATTAATTTCATTATTGTAATATTATTTTCAGGTTCAATTTATACTTTTATATGAATTCATAATAATTATGTGAATTTTATACATTATATTTACAAACAGATACAACATATTTGACATTTGTTTAATTTTTGAGTTTGTTAATACGAGGAAATTATAATACAAAATTGAAATTGTGTTGATTTTCATTATTATATTACATTTTTATTGGGTACTTCAGTTCGTTATTCACAATGACCGTTATAAGTTATGGGAAATTGGAAATTTGTAAGTTATACCTATAACTGTAGTTGCAAACATGTCACCGTAATATCAATCAAATAATATAAAGTTTTTTTTTCGTTTTACTTTTTAGTTTTAATACTACCGGTATAAATTGCAACCAAATAACAAAAAATCATACTAGATTTTTTATTTTATTCCCTTATATTGTACATAAAGGCGGTTTTATGAATATATAATAATACCTATATGTATTGGAAAACATAAATATCGCATGGTTCAAAGGACTTTTTTTATTAAAAGAAAAAATACATAAACTCGCACATAATAAATGCGTGAGACACGTATATCGATTATATTATTTTGTTTGGCCATTGAAAAAAAATATACGTTTCTCGTGACATGTTGATTGTTAAGAGGGTTCGCAAAAAAAAAAACAACCCTATTCATTCGGTTCGTTTCACTTATTTTCGTTCATTTTTATCGAAATTATTGTCTTATTTTACTTTGTATGTGTATATAACAGGTCATTCGTTGAGTTTTCTGGTAGCCGAAACGTATGGAGAAGAGTCGACTAGTATACTCGAAACGGCGGAATTGTGGAAGAAAAATATCTCGGCTTTCATCGGACCACAAGAGACGTGTCTGCATGAAGCTAGAATGGCCGCTGCATTTAACCTGCCGATGATTTCCTATGTGAGCCAGTATAAAAATATTAAAAATATTAACATTTAAATTGTTAGTTCTATATAGAATATAAGTCTATAGTTCATAATATAGTTGGTCAAATATTTTATTTGACTACATGAATTTTAGTTTTTGATTTGCTTCAACTATTATTGTAATTGCATAATGTTATAAATTTATTATAATATGATAATTTATAAAATAGGCCTGGTGTGGCACGGTGGTTGGCTTCAGTCACAAACGTGTTCTGAAGTCAAGCATCAGCCGGTGTCACTAGTTCTCGGATAGGTGACCACCCATGTTTATGGTGACAAATCCTCGCCACATATGTAAATTGTAAGTGTTCTAACCAACCGTACCCCACAATTAAAAACCTACTAAATAAAAACAATAATAAAAAAATAAAAAAAAGTAATAATTTAAGTATAATATGTAATATAAAGTATAGTTATAGATAATGTTTATTAGTGGTTTTTTCATATTTTTCCGATCGACTTTTTAAATATATGAAATTTTTCTTTACCCTCATTTCATTATAATTTTCATGCACATATGTAAACATAAGCTGGCGTATTAAATCTGTAAACTAAGTTTTCCTTGTTTTGAATACTAGGCATATTATTTATGCTAAATTCTCAATTTATGGCATATAACTACATGAATATACTGGCTTATAAAGCAATTACTGCAATTGACACGAATCCTCCGTGTATTATAGGTATCAAAGAAATATTGCCTATAAACACGTTTTATGACCGATTTTCGTGAATTAATTCAGAGAGGGATTTTATATATAATATTATACTGTAGGATTATATTCACACAAATTAACTCATATACATCTGTTGTTGAGTTTGAAATTGAACTTTCACCGCCTGTTATTGAAGGGAAATTAATTTGTTTTTACCTAATAATCGATACTATATTTTATAAATTAATAGTCGAATAATATTTGTAAATGATTGTAATGTTCATTTGTTGGCCCGTTAAATAAAAAAATACAAGTAAATAATATGCACAATAGTGTTATCAAATATCAATACCTTGAATTACAACTCACACAGAGTGGACTACGAGCTAAATAATAAATATTTTTTGACGTATGCAGTTCACTCACACACACGTGTTCATCAGAAAATTAGATATAACACGTGTTGTAAATGATTGTTCTCATTTTTGTTCGGTGTGATTAGATAATTTTTGTTTTAAATTTATGGTGGAAAATTTAAGTGTCTGAAAAGTTTTTGATACGGCGATTAGTTTCCAGAGTGCCATGAAATATCAATCTGAGTTATAATTTTAAGTTTTCGTAACAGTCAGTTTTAATATTATTGAAATGTCCATAATTTCTGAAAAGTACGATTTAAAGTTTTCGGGAAAAACCTTGGAAAGCCAATGGACATTTTGCCAAAATGTATCCATTTGAATAATATCCGCAAAAACATTTTATTCCTCAAATTAAAACTGTTAAATACGTTTAAGGCACTTGTATACGTTTGAAGGCTGGTAATAATTGACGTATACTTTAAGCTTTCTTATTATTCTTAAAAACGGCTGAAACAATAATAGTTTTATCATTAACTTGATCGTAGAACGTACCCAAAACGCAAACATATTTTTATTAAAAAATTTCCTTCATTGGCTAAATAATATGTTCCACACTAATGAAAAATGTAAAATGTTTAACTACCTATTGATGTATCACGTTTTTGTGTGTAATGTCTATTACGGTCGTCTGTCCTAGTTTCTGGTTTCGTTTAACTACAGAACAATTCGGTTCTGTATGACGAATGACGATTAAAGTGCAGTAAATGGTTTTTGCGAGTAAACTTTTAATAGAATATAACATAAACAATATTAAATGTTTATATACATATAATTCATTGAAGTATCGGTTACTAAAATTCGATATCTGATACGATGTGGCTCATTTAATCGTGTACCATAACTGCTCGATAAATTCTAAATTGTACTGCCATAACCTAATGGATTTTTTCACGGTGTTTTGGATAAACGATTATAAGTTTTATACGTGTAAAAAAACCTCTACCTATTTACTGCAGGCTACAAGTTTTAAACATTGACAGTAAAGTTGTAAATTTACTTTAAAATTAATTAATTAGCCTTTTTTCTCACGGAAACTGTTGTGAAGCCAGACTTTTTATAATAATTACGTGTAACTGAACTTATTATACCTACGTATGTCTGTACTATTATAAATATTACAGACATAACACTGATGATAGTGTGTTTGTAGTTTGTACTCTTTACTCTGACAAGTTTTACTTTGGAATATTTCATGAAAAAAGTGTTTTATTTTGTCACATTTTATAATAGGTACGGTATTTGTTGATGATGTATTTTGAATTTATCGCATTATTTTTTGGATCTATATCTATTTAGTATTTATTATTTAGTAATAATGTATTATTATAATGTTATGTTCTACATAAAATGTAAACCAACTACTCATGTGTTTATATGCATCCTTTTAACGAAATCTATGTTTTTCTAAGTATTTACCTACATTATTTTGTACCATTTGATACATTATTTTCATGTTTTTTTATAGTCTATTTCGTTCAGAATCACCTGAACGCACCATTTATTTTCTGTGTTTGTATGTTTATGATTTTACAAAACATGAAACTACTCTACGAAACATCCGAAATGTTTCCTCTATAATATAATGTTATACTTTTTGTCGTTTCCTACAGAACCAATTACTCGATATTTATTTTTTTTTCATTTATATGTATCGTTTATGGTTTTAACTTGTAAGCTTGCCCTGCTGTTACGTTTGAAAGATTTTACCAATGACCTATACAATAATGTACCTGCAGACAAGGCGTCTTTCTGAGAGATTTCTTTTTAAAACCAGTTGACGTTCTGAGACAATGAATATTTACGTAAACGATATTTTTACGAAATAATTAGTTTATTCTTTATGGTATCCATTTGGAATTGAATTTCGTCGCTACCGGTTCGTTGTACCACCACCGAAACTCGTCTGGTAACTCGTTAAAACCGAAACGGCTTGTTTCACGATAAAGACTAGAGATAAGCACAACACATAGACGAAGGTAAACGACGTCATTATTGTACAATAATTGTTAAAAACACAAGACGGCTTTGAACGTCCGACATGAGCGTCCCAATGACCAAATTACGAGTGATAATAATAATAGCAATAATAATATAATAAAATATAACAACGACGACGTTGAAAACCGTTGTAATTTATGACTTTCGCGGTGTTTGGTGTGCGTCTAATTGGAACAGTTGGCACTTTGATCATCAAAGTTAACGAGCATGATATTTTGTCCTCGTAATGGAAAGTAGTTTGAAAAAAAAAATCGGCGGACACAAAAATACGGAGTAGGTACCTACGTATAATAATGATATGATATTTTTAATATAATATAATATAATATTATGTAAGGTGTTATAATCGTAATAATATTCATGTGTGAGTTATTGCAAAGTGCATTGACTGTGGCAGTGGAACAACGCACGGGCAAAGTCTATTTTTAACTCGGCACACGACGCACTCGGACTTGGTTAAGAATTATTATTATTATTATAATTTTATATTTTTTTGGCGTTTGTTAATGGTCCAAACACAGTTGTCCCGCCGACGCCGCCGTCGGGAGCTTCATTCACTCTGGCCCATAGCCGCCACGCGGTACTTCAACCGGAATAAACGACGTCACAACGTACTTACTGCGACAACTATAACGATATGCTCACATATTATATTAAGTATTCCTACGTTTAATGAAGAACATATTATACGCCACCTGGTAGGTGGTACACGACGACGTGTTATAGGTACGCCACTGTTGTATTAGATAGGTAATTCGTTCGTATAGGAACTATCGTCACTGTCGATAGCGTCATATTAAGTTTTACTCAGCGAGGCTCACACAAATCCGTGAAATATGTTGTCTTAGGTCTTGTTGTGGTTACTCGATTACGAATGTTGTGTGTATCGATACTATGAAAAATATAATACCATTGTATGCAAATACTCACACCCACGACAGTGACGTATCTAATGCTCAACTTTGAGTGGGGGTGGGGGGTGATTAAAATGCTTTAACGAAAATATTGCTTCCACTCCTCTCATTATAATTTATTAAGCTTCTTGAATTTTTTTTTAATTCATACGTTATACTTATCTCTTGTGTTTATTACAAGTTTGAAATTTTTTTCTATTTCAGATTTTTTTTAGATAAAGAGATGTAATTATTAATACATTAAAAAATTCAATCTGGGGTAAGGTGTGATCCACTATAGATATAAAACGCCTGCAGTTGCCACTATATGAGTGTAAATACGGGTTTCTCTGTTGTATACGGGTTGGTATATAACAATTAGATAATCTATATTGTTCTCAAGTTTTGGGTCGAAGATTCTCGACTATATTTTCCCTGTCTACTTTGTATTTTTTTTTTGGCAAAAACTTTGAACCCGTGTATTATTTTCCCACGCTTCGTTCGTTCCATTCTAGCGCTTGGCCAGTAGATATCTATATACCGACAGTGTTTGGCAACCTTTTTATATGAACAACAACAAAAAAATACATCTCTTTATATAACCATGATTATTGCCTAGTTGTAGGTAGGTAGGTACCTACTGTCAATAAAAACATTTATTTGCAATAAATTTCAAATATATTATTTTATTCAGATTTGTGAATTAATATTTTACATTTTTCGTCTTTATTGTCTTACACAAATTCATTGTACTCATCCAAATATATTAATTTGGATTTGTGAACGGTTGTTTAGATAGTAATGGTATATAATTCCGTCGTTTAAAAAATAGTTTCTTTAACATATTTTTTCTTCAATAATCCCTATTGTAATTATAATTAAAAAGACGCTGTCACGTATTAAAAGTTTAATCAAAAATAAAACTAATATACTTTTTACAATGTACCTACTTCCTACATTAAAATCAATACATTGATTGTTATTCTCAAGAAATGCGTAGATACTTTACTT